AGTCTGCTGAGCCACCAGGCCCATTTTAATTTAAGACTATTTAAAACAATAACAAAATGCACATAACAGCTTTCATGCTAGAGAAACAACTTCTTCAGGAAAAATAAAGATCATGTAAGTATTTACTTAGGTGGTTATTGCTTAAATTTCTTATTTAGAGACCTTTCAAAGTAAAATTGCAAGTCATGATCATCTGATGTCTGGCTTAACAACTGCAGGTTGTTAATGCTTAATGACCATAAGGAAAGTGAGATTGTGAGTCCATCATGGTTGTGTGATGTCTTGTTTATTGACCACAGCCATCATTTAGCAATCTCCATTGCTGCCATTGCATTACATTGGTAGCTATGGAACTGTTGATTGGTGTTAGGCACTGATGCTCACTGCTGCTGTAAACTGGCTTGAAAATTCCTTAAAAATTAAGAATCACCTCTTGGGACCTGGTGCAAGCTCTGTAAGTATGTACTATATAAACAGAGAAAGGGTGTGCGTGTGTGGGAACCATGCTGTCAATTTATGGGCCAAAAGATCAAACAATTTACGATGCTGCAGCAATTGTATCACTGTAAGCCTTTGCAGTTTATTCTTATGCCAAGTTTCAAATATCAAATCTGAAAATTAATTTGCAGAAGAAAATGGAAATGAGCAAAAGTAGTTGTCCAAAATCTTTTAAGATGCTAAAAATTAGAATTTCCTAACTCAGTCTCAGAAGATCTGTTTTCTCCTTCATTTTTGGTATATATTTTCTTTTGGACAATAATGGGTCTTAACGTTTCAATGTTTAGGATTTCCTTTAGAAAGGCCTATTTAATCTAGTACTTTCTTCCATCCTAGAGATAAGGTTTTCTAATTATCAATCCTCTATGGTATTTGTGTCTCTGGTACTTTGAAAAATGCGACACATATCCTTCAATGATTTAGAAGGGACACAATTTACCAATCCCCTATTTTTGAATTCTCATAAAGGAATTCAAATAAAGAAATCCCATAAAGAATATATTTATTTTCTGTAACTTTCAGTGTTACACATGTGAGCCTAGATATAACTATAATGGTTCCAAAGCTAAGAAAAGAGCCCAGTCATTGTACAATAAATACATAGACTGCCTTTTAATAATTGTATGCCACCCACTTACAGAAAGAAGGGTATCCATATAAATTATATTGATGAGTGACTCATAAGGGTATGCCAGTATATTCATGGTTTCTTTCTTTCTTTTCATATATTATTTGGTGCATCCTACCTGAGATAATTAAATAATATTTTTCTCAACTGGGTATAGTCAATTTGTATCAAAGGTCCAGAAACATGCTAAGAGTTCTTCCTGCCAAAGCCACTTGAATATTTTCCTGCCAAATCCCTTTTTCCTCTGTTATGTATTTACCATGTGTAGTTATTGTAAATGTGTGTCTTGTTTCCATTTAATCCCTAGCTGCAATAGACCTTGATTTACGACCATTTACTTAATGATAGTTACAATGGTATTGAAAAAAGTAGCTTACAACTGAAGTTATGTCGTAACATACATTCCTATGATCATATGATCACAATTTGTGACCTTCCCAGTTAGCTTCCAAGTAAAATTAATGGGAAACTGGTAGAAAAGATTACAAATCATGTTCACATGATATCTTGCTTAACAACTGTGATTGTTTGCTTATCACCACAGTAAAAATAGCCATAAAATTGGATCTAGTCACATGATGGCTTGCTTTACAACTGTGTCACTTAGCAAACAAAATTCTGGTCCCAATTGTGGTTGTAAGTTAAGAATTATCTGTATTGTTACTGGGGATCAAAAGGAACAGAGAAAATGAAAACAAAAAGGATTTTTCTAAGACCTTCATTCCTAGAAACAAAGTTGGCTGTCCTCAAATCCTCAGCTTTTTAACCTGATTGAACCTTTTGTGCATAACATAGCAAAGAATGTTAATAATATTCATAATGCTGTAATGCATTCAATTTTTTTTTGCTATGATAATCACACACATTAGAAATCCAGCTGTAGAAAACACGAAAGAAATGTGCAGGGAACACAAGACAAGGAAAGAAACACGCTTGAATAATGTAGAATAAGGCTCTACACATTATGTCAATTCATTTAGACTACAAAATTTGACACTCTAACTCACAGATTCCTTTTTTCTACTTTTTCAATTTCTTGTTCTATGTGATTTTGCTTTGCATGAGCTTATCATGGTACATAATCATAGCATAAAGTGAAGGAAGCCTCTCTTAAGATCTAGGTTAACTTATACTTCAAACACTCCATCAAACAAGATCACAACCTGCATGCCATTATATATGAAAAGTATATAAACTTTTATGCTACACAAACTAATACTATTTATATATATTACACCCAGAAAATACATCAGTTAATTATCTGCAACCCAGCTTCATATTCAATTGGACGTTCACTTTTTAATAATGAGATTTGCAGGATTAATGTAATTATAAAATACATAATTGTTATATTGGTAAAACACATTGTGAGTCACTCAAGAGTCGTTGACAGTTGAGTGGCAGACAAATATAATAATAATACTTAGTGGGGAAATAAAGCTTCAAAACAGGTATCTACAATAGTTGTCATCTCATATTGATTAGTCTAATATGGAAATTAGCAGTTAATAGTTGTCATCCTACTTCTCAACTGAAAACTATTTATCTATTTATTTATTTATTTGTTTGTTTGTTTCCTTTATTATTTTTATAAATATCTCAAGGCAGCAAACATACCTAATATTCCTTCCTCCCATCCAAGCATAAACTAGGTAACCATATGAGGTGAGGTGAGGTAAGAGAGAGTGACTGGTCTGAAGTCAGCCAATAGGTTTTCATGTCTAAGACAAGACTAGAACATCAAGTCTTACAGCCAATCCTAAATTGTTTTTCCCTTTTTCCACTGGGAATTTTTTAGTATCAAATAAAAACCCACTACCTCCCAAAAGGAGTACATTTTTCACACAGGTTTTGAGGACATCCTTCAAGATGCCATGTACAACAAGCATGATCTTCAGTCTGATGAAAGTTAGTCCTGTCTTTTGCTGTGAAGTAAGGCTGTACAAGGATTCAGATTCAGAAGTGAGGCTTCGAAGCATGTGGGGGCACAAACGTGGCACCTGCAACTCTTCAAACATAATGTATATTCCAATAAAAAAGAATATATGTAGCTCAGTGTTGAACTGTGGAGTCCTTAGTGCTATCTGACCTTGACTGTTTCTTTACAACATTTCATTACCCAATTTGTTAACATCACTTACACTCACACTGATGTTACCTAGTTGGGTAATAAAACATCTGCAAGCAAACAATTAAGCTCAGAGAGGACCCCACAGAACAAGTATTTTTCCATGATTACACTGTGGCTTAGGAGAGCAGCATTATGATACCAGGGCAAAAAGAGGCATAGTTTTAAGGAGGCGTAGACAGATGCTATCTAGATATCCTTGTACACATTTAAATGTAAAGTATGTCCACAATGTTGTATATGTCCAGTACCTGTATCTTCCTATCTCAGTGATTATTTAACCTACCTGACAGAATGGCTTCTAGAATGAGAACATTAAATGGCATAATTCAGCTACATTACAGATAGCTTTGGTTGTTTTATTGCAATGGAATAATATGGCTACTATTAAGACTTTTCAGTGATGCTAGAAAGAGTTAAGTGCTAAAGGAGCTGGTGTTAAATGTGTTTGCCAACATGAATATAAAATAATGTTATTTTTACAATACTAAGAAATATTAATAGATATTTTAGTTTTTTTTTAAATTTCAGTCTACTGTTCCTTCAGGAATTTAAGGCTTGATAATCCAAACTACCCTAACCAATCTGTCTGATAAGCTAACAGAGAGAATTGAACTTATTATTTCTTGTGGCATGTGGCCATAGGAAGCTCCAAACTAGATCAGATCTGTGGTACTTGGGAAAACTAGAGAAATATGCTTTACTAGGGAAAATGGCACCCTTGGCAGAAGGGAGTGTAAATTATAAAGTGCAAGCACATGGATAATACAGGTAGTCCTCGACTTACAACCATTCATTTAGTGACCATTCGAAGTTACAACAGAACTGAAAAAAGTGAGTTATGACTGTTTTTCACACATGATCATTGCAGCATCCCCATGATCACGTGATCAAAATTTGGATGCTTAGGAACTGGCATGTATTTGTGACAGCTGCAGTCTCCTGAGGTTTGTGACCTTCTGACAAGCAGTCAATCGGTGAAGCCAGATTCACTTAGCAACCATGTTATTAACAACTTAAGTGATTCACTTAATCTCTGTGGCAAGAGACAAGTCTTAAAATGGGGCAAAACTCACTTAACAAGTGTCTTGTTTAACCAACAGAAACGTTGGCCTCAATTGTGGACACAAGTTAAGGACTCCCTGTATTTAAATACTTCCCCACTATCTTCATTTTTAAGAAGAATTAAGGTATTTACAACAAATCTTAAAAGTATGGCTATCGGAACTTGGTTCACATGACAGTTAGTATGTGAAAACCCCACATCAGGCTGAAATGAAGAATAGATATAATTCACTGAGAACTAGCAGCTTATTTACATTAGGGGTGCCCATTCCAGAGAGGACACACCGCACTTTACATCTTTACCCATGGGTAACTTTCATTTTGAGCTCCCTGGCAACCAAGCCAGAGTCACATTTCTTTTTCCTGTTCCTCTAATATCCCGCTCCCTTTTTAAAAATCCAGCGCAAAAGCTGCCGCAGCGAAGCGAAATCACACTACACGGGAGCGACTCTTTTAATCACGCCGCAAAGCCAGCTGAGCTGCCTCTTCTCCCGTTACAAAAAAAGGAGTCCCCGCGGCCTCGGGCCGCCACTTGTTAACAGTTTACTTCCGACAGCTGACTTCTTCACTTCCTTCGCGTAAAAAAAAGGGGCGGAATTTGCCTTGGAAGAGCCAGGCGGCGGGAAGAGGTGGGGGGGAGGACGGGGTGTGGGAGACGGAGGCTGCCCGGGGAAGACTTACCTGGGGAATTTTGCCTTCAGTTTTCTCAGGCTCTGCCTGGTAGGCGGTACCTGAGCCAGGAACTGAACCACCTCTTCGTACTGGGCTTTAGTGAGCTTCATAACCTCCCCGGTGGACGGAGGTGACCCCCTGCAAGCTGCAGCAGAGCGGCTGGGGCAGGGAAGAATTTCCTTGTTTAAGGGGGCGCTTCCCGGCTCCGGCCACCGCCGAGTGGAAGCGGAGGGTTTGGTGAAACCGGGCAGTCCAAAGAAACCCCTTCCGCGGCTTCGCGCCACTGCAAAAGACGAACACTCATGCGCTGCGCTCGGAGCTCCACCCTCGTTGGCGCGTAGAGCCCGGCTCGGCCCTTTTCTTCCTGGGTTGAAAGCTGCGAGGCCGGCGGGCTGCTCGGAGCGAGCGAGAGCCGAAGGAACAGTTGGCCTTCTTTTCTTTATACTGGTGGCCGGCCGGTTTGTCCAGAACCTAACGCTATCCTTCGGGGGAGTGTAGTTTTTGATACCTGGGTAGGATTGAAAGGAGGGGGTAACTGGTTGCTCAGACTGCGCCCCCCCTCCATGCACCCCGACACTGAAATGGTTTAAATATGAGGAAGGAGCTATCGGCTGGTCGCCTTAGACAGAAGTTATGCACAATTGTCTTGTCTGTTTTATTGGTCGGTCATGTGTGGATAAAAGTAAATCAAAAGTAACTGTAGGAGAAACGTAATTCTTGATGCAGTTTTGGGGCAAACCAGACTCATCCAGAAACAGCTGATTAGGGCAGACATAAATTTAGCCAGTTCTGGAGGGGAATTTATTTAAAAGATTTATGTGCCCATGTGAAGCATCTATAAGCAGCTCATAACAATATAAATTAGAAAACAGTATATATAGTTACCTAAAAGAAACAAAGGGAATAACTGTAATAGGGATAACAAACATACACCATAATGTAGTCAATGTATTCCAGAGATTAATTTGTGTCAACCTGTAGCGGAGCTGAGAACGTGTTTACAGGAATCTTTTAAAGGACTGAAAGTTCACCAAGAGTCAAAATTTAAACTATAAAGGTTCATATATTTAAACTACTATAAAGTAGTTTTAAAAACGTAGTTATATTCTGTGGAGAACCAAACTTAGTATAAAGTGATAGGTCAAGTTGATTTTGACTCTTAGTGACTACATAGATGGACCATCTCTAGGATGATCTGTCCCTAGCTTGGCCCTTCAAGTTCTTTCAACAGTGCACCGGTTTCACTGTGCAGTAATTGAGTCTGTATCTTGCTGCTGATAGTCTGTTTTACCATTGTCAGCATTATGGTCTTCTTAAGGAAACTGGATCTTCCTATAACATGTCTGAAATGATCATTTATACCTAATCATTTGATCTGAGTAAAAATTCTGGATTGTTATTTTCTCCATGATTTTCCCTTCTATAGAGTGTCACAGAAAAAAAAACATTGCCTGCATGATTATGATATTTGTAAGTATAGACGAAAATAAGTACAGGTAATCCTTGACTTACAACATTTCATTTAGTGACCATTCAAGGTTACAACAGGACTGAAAAAAGTGACATGTCCTTTTTTCACAGTTACATGGCCCCATGGCCATGTGATCAAAATTCAGATGCTTGGCCATTGATTCATATTTATGACAGTCGCAATGTTCCGGCATTGTGTGATTCTCTTTTGCGACCTTCTGACAAGCAAAGTCAATTGGGAACCCAGATTCACTTAACCGTATTACTAACTTAACAACTGCAGTGATTCATTTAACAACTGTGGCAAGAAATGTCATAAAATGGGGCAAAATTCACTTAACTGTCTTGCTTAGAACAAAAATCGGACTCAATTGAGGTCATACTTAAAATCAGTGGGTATTTGTTCAGGATCATATAGAATTCTTTATTGGCCAAGTGTGATTGGACACACAAGGAATTTATCTTCGGTGCATAAGCTCTCAGTGTACATAAAGCTATAAGTGATAAATCATGATCATAAGCATAAAAATACATCATAAATCATAAGATACAACACTTAGTGATAGTCATAGGATACTAAATAAGCAATCAACATAAATCATACTTGGAAACTAAATAAAACAATATAAATCATAAAGATACAAGCAACAAAGTTATAGTCATAAGTAGAAAAGAAGATAGGTAATAAGAAAGATGAGAAGAATAATAGTAATACAGCCTTATTAAATAGTTTAACTGTTGTGGGAATTAGTTGTTTAGCAGAGTGATGGCATGGAGGAAAAAACTTGTGTCTAGTTCTGGTGCGCAATGCCTTATAATGTCGTTTTGAGGGTAGAAGTTGAAACAGTTTATGTCTAGGATGTGAGGGGTCTAGATATTTTCACAGCCCACTTTTTGACTCATGCAGAATACATGTCCTCAATTGAAGGCAGGTTGGTAGCAATTGTTTTTTTCTAATTATCCGTTGAAGTCTGTATCTGTCTTTTTTGGTTGCCGAGACAGTTATAGAGGTGCAGATGACAGACTCAATAATTTCTCTGTAGAACTATCATGGAAACTATATATAGTTCTGTACCTCTTTATACCAATAATGTATGTAGTCAATTTCATTTCTGTGTATTCCATCTAGTGATTTGGTAGTTTGAACACTACATTAGCAATGAGAACATCACTGGATTGGAAGAAACATGCATTCTCTTGCTTCTTATCTCTTTCCTGGGCCATACAGTCCAACTGTGTTTTACATATTTCCAGTTTTGGCATTCCAATCTTCAACCATAAGCAGCAACTCTCCCCTGTGTGTTCTGTCAATTTCAGATAAAATTTAATCATAAAGCCTATCAACCTTTTATTCTTAATGATTGACGATTGATTTGGTTAAGCCGTGTAATTGCTATTATTTAGTCATTGACTACATCGTACCCAAGTATTGTCTTCGCTACTCTCAGCCTTCCAAGGTAGACAAACATGGAAACCAAAGACATGGGATAGGGCGGCTGCTGGTGCTCTGGATCGGGTCGTGCCTTTGCGGCCTCTGACCCGGTGCCGATCTCAATTGGCTCCTTGGTTTACCGAGGACCTGAGGGAGTTGAAGCGCCGGAAAAGATGCCTAGAGAGTAGTTGGAGGGCCAGTCTTTCTGAATCTGACCGGACACTAGTAAGATCCCACATTAGGAATTACTTAGTGGCGATAAAAGCAGCGAAATGTAGTTATTTTGCTGCTCTTATTGCGTCATCAGATAATCGCCCGGCCGCCCTCTTTAGGGTGACCCGCTCCCTGCTCCACCAGGAAGCGCGGGAGGACCCCTTGGAGGGTAGAGCCGAGGATTTTGTTCAGTATTTGTATGACAAAATCACTCAGATTTGGGAAGATTTGGACTCCGACTGGGTAGTCTCAGGGGGAGAGACAGGGGCAGGTCTTGAGAATGTTATCTGGGATGAATTTGATCCTGTGACCCCTGAGGACGTGGACAGGATTCTGGGTAGACTGAACGCGACCACTTGTTTATTGGACCCGTGTCCTTCCTGGTTAGTACTGGCTTCCCGGGAAGTGACACGAGGCTGGCTCCAGGGGATTATAAACGCTTCGCTGAGCGAGGGTGACTTTCCCGCCGCCTTGAAAGAGGCGGTGGTGAGGCCTCTCCTCAAGAAGCCTTCCCTGGACCCGGCAATGTTGGTAAATTATCGTACGGTCTCCAACCTTCGCTTTGTTGCGAAGGTTGTTGAGAGTGTGGTCGCGCAACAGCTCCCCCAGCACCTGCATGAAACGACGTATCTGGATCCGTTCCAGTCGGGCTTCAGGCCCGAGTACAGCACGGAAACGGCATTGGTCGCATTGGTTGATGATCTCTGGAGGGCTCGGGACAGGGGGTGCTCCTCTGTCCTGGTCCTGTTAGATCTCTCAGCGGCTTTTGATACCATCGACCATGGTATCATGCTGCACCGGTTGGAAGAGTTGGGGGTGGGAGGCACTGTGTTGCGGTGGTTCTCCTCCTTTCTCTCTGACCGGTCGCAGTCTGTGTTGACAGGGGGACAGAGGTCGACCCCGAGGCCCCTCATATGTGGGGTGCCGCAAGGGTCGGTCCTCTCGCCTCTCCTGTTCAACATTTATGTGAAGCTGCTGGGCGAGATCATCCGTGGTTTCGGGGTGGAGTACCATCAGTACGCTGACGGCACCCAGCTGTACATCTCCACCCCGGATCACCCCAATGATGCCCTTGAAGTGATGTCCCGGTGCCTGGAGGCCGTACGGATCTGGATGGGGAGGAACAGGCTCAGGCTCAACCCATCCAAGACTGAGTGGCTGTGGTTTCCGACGTCCCGATATAGTCAGTTGATGCCATCACTGACTATTGGGGGCGAATCATTGGCCCCCACGGAGAGGCTCGCAACTTGGGCGTCCTCCTGGATTCACGGCTGTCTTTAGAAGAGCACTTGACGGCCGTGACCGGGAGGATTTTTCATCAGGTTCGCCTGATTCGCCAGTTGCGTCCCTTTCTGGATCGGGACTCATTACGCACGGTCACTCATGCCCTTGTCACCTCCCGCCTGGACTATTGCAACGCTCTCTACATGGGGCTCCCCTTGAGGAGTACCTGGAGGCTCCAACTGGCGCAGAGTGCGGCCGCGCGGGTGGTAATGGGAGCGACATGGCGTTCCCATGTAACACCCCTCCTGCGCGAGCTGCACTGGCTCCCGGTGGTCTTCCGGGTGTGCTTCAAGGTTCTGGTTACCACCTTTAAAGCGCTCCATGGCTTAGGACCCGGGTACTTGCGGGACCGCCTACTACCACCAATAGCCTCCCACCGGCCGGTACGCTCCCATAGAGAGGGGCTCCTCCGGGTGCCGTCAGCCAAACAATGCCGACTGGCGGCCCCCAGGGGGAGAGCCTTCTCTGTGGGGGCACCTACTATCTGGAACGAGCTCCCCCCAGAGATACGGAGGATCCCGGATCTGCGCACCTTCCACCGCGCCTTAAAGACCTTACTATTTCACCAGGCCGGCCTGGCCTAATTTTCCCCCTCTTTTATAAAAGATTTTTAAAATTTTAAATATCTTTTAGTATTTTATGTATTCAATTTTAAATTGGTTTTAAAAGTTTGGGGTTTAAATTTGTCGGGGCCAAAATTATTTAATTTGATTTTATTCTATTTTTAAATTTTGTATTGTATGTGTTTTTATTGTTTGGCTGTGCACCGCCCTGAGTCCTTCGGGAGTAGGGCGGTATAGAAATCTAATAAAATGAAAATGAAATGAAATGAATGCAACCCAATACTACTTTTATTATAAGGTTTGTAACAGCCTTGCTAGCATGAAAGTGTTTCTCCCTTCCTCCTTCTTTTCTTCTTCATGAAAACCAAGGT